CTTTGCATTCAAGAGACATGACCAGTGAACATGCAATGACAGAAACATTCATAGTGTACTTTGCTGCTTGGTGTTTAATAAAATAAAACCTAGCTTTCGACTTACGCGGTCATCTTCAGGGTTACAATGAATCTCGTTACAATAACATAAAAACTTCACCATCAAAACAAAGAGCGAGTGCATAAGTCATGATGTTATAAAAGTGCACACAATAAATCAATCGCCGGTTTTATTTTATTATACACCAAGGTTGATGCAGCAAAGTACACAATGAAGTTAACCCAACCTACAATCATCTTTTCAGACAGAAACATTCTTTTTATTAACGTCTACCAGGGGGGATCCAGTAGTCTGCAAAGGGGGATGGGGATGAGCAGAACTAGGGGGTTCCTTAGCAAATTTTGAAATTGAGATCCTGATGGAAATGTGTCATACCATCAATGTAGTATTGTTGATGAAAGGAACCATATCCCACTGAAGGTTTCCCTGGACCTTTTACATGCTGTAGATATGACAGGTGGTTAGAAATTACCAGGAATCTTGAAGGTCAAAGGAGGTTTTACCTCAGGGTAACAGGTAGTAATTTCTGAGGGTTATAGTACTCTAAGGGTGCTTTCCATTTAGGCAGAACTGGCCGDCCAGTCCACTCTATTTAGAGGTATATAATGCTTTTTGTCAACATTTTTCAGTCATTTCGAGGTTTTCTGTCTAGATTAATGGATAGAATCTGAAAATTTGAATTTCCTAACTAAATGGGAATGATATATAATGACATTTTCTCTGGGTCTGGCCAGCCAGTTCTGACAAATGAAAATCACACTAAAAGGCCCATTTACACTTAAGATTTTTGAAGAGTGATTGTCATGGTGATTGTCGCGCTATCATCACCTAAGTTTGAAATTTAGATGCAACCTTGCAGGGCTGTTTACATGTACAATTTTATGTGCGCAATAGCAAAGCGAGCTGCAAAAATTTCAAGTGTAAATGGGGCTTAAAAGAACCTACGGTGCATTTTTTTCCAATTCTAAATATTAAATGCTTACTTGTAATGGAGAATCAATAAGAAATCTTTGAAACTGAAAATTGAAATAAATATGTGACTGTATAATTATATTAATATGTCTTCATGGTTACCTGTAGGTGAAATCTCTCAATTGTTCAGTATAAGAGATTTTTTCAAGACTCTAAAAGCTGATTTACAAGGTACAATTGTCATGTAGGACTAGTAGTATCTGACTCAAATGAGCTTCAAATCAAGCTGTGTAAATGCTCCTGTGGCTTGCCTTCARCATTCGACACAACCTATAACTTTTAMTAGGATTTTGAAGCATGGTTCAAGTCGTAGGTTGAGTATGATTTTGAACTTACTACAACTTAAAATCCTAATATGACTTATCGTAGGAAAATCGTATACTGCAAGACAGATGTGACAATTGTGCCATGTACATTGGCCTTAAGACAAAATCTGCATCTCTGTCCAYGCAAGTAATATCTTCTATTTGATAAATGAAAGGGGAAATGGAAGAATAGTTAAAGAAAATTAAATGAAATAAATGAACTCAAGGAATAAAGAATGGCCAAAGATGACAGTTATGTTGCCTGGAGGGAAAAATGGATGAATCTAAGATGAAAAAATGAAAAAAAGTTACCTGTCGTTCCTCAACTTTGTGGGGTGGATCTTTATGTATCGCTACTTGATATTTTTGATAAATTCTGTGAGATGCCTTGAATGTTTTTTTGAACTCTTCTGAATTCATGTCAGCCCGAACCAGTTTAATCTCYAGTTTGTGTGCTGGACTTGCACTTTTAGTGTATTCTAACAGAAATTCCTCCAGGGACTTTTCTTTGCTCTKGCTTGGTTTAGATTCAGTCATAATTGTGTCTTGAGTAGTAGCTTGTTGTTTTTTCTGTTTCCTTTCCATTCGAAGAAGTTTTGCTTTTCGACATGGCGGCTTGTCTGTGTCAGCACCTAATCCAGGCTCTGAATAAATAGTTTCAAATTCAAAAGATGGGTTTCAAAAGAGGTATTGTCATAAGAAGATCAGTGTATTAATGAATTAATATGTCATTGTAAAAGACCATTTCAGGATTAAAACCAAAGCGGAATAATACAGTATGTTTGCTGCAGCCCTCAAATGAACAAGAGTGCCAATGTCAAAATTATGACTTTTCACAAACAAAAATTATTTTCCTGACATTGAAAGCTCAAACATTTTAGTGTTTTGTTTACATTTGTATCCTCGCGCACGCATTGTAATTTCATTTTGCCCTGATGATGGACAAGTTGTCCGAAAGCTCGGAATATTAAAACACACGTAGAAGGAACAAAACTGAGTATTTATCATTTTAGGGTTGTTCTCAAGTTCTGCCTTTGATGCAAAACCACAGAATTCTTGGCATTTTCTGTTCTCTAATTCTCTATTGCAAAAAAGAGCTATTAATATTAACCATTATTTGCTATTAAAAAATGCTATATGTGAGGTTTTGCTGAGTACTTACTTGGTTTGTTTTTAATATGTTTTGTTGTACATGTTGTTGATGCAGTGGATTCAGCTGTGTCTAAAGATGACATTCCTGTCAAATCACTTTTAGCTTTTTCATGCTGTGGTTTATCTATGATTAAATAAGTAACACATGTTTTGATTGGTTTGAAAGTGCTCTGATTGAACTGAACTGACTGTCAAAAACATTAGAACAAGTGCTTTGATTGGTTAAGCCTGAGTTGGCTTATCTATGTTAGAACAATTTCTCTGATTGGCTAAATTAGAACAAGTGCTCTGTTTGATCAAGCAAGAAAAACTGTTCTTGCTGAGCTAGAACAATTGTAAACAATGACTGACTAAGCTAAAGAGAAGAGCTTTGATTGATTAGGGTAGAACAAGTGCTTGATTTGGCCAACTTAAATGCGTGCTGTGATTAGGTAAATTGTTTTTAAAAATTCAAAAGTGCTGATATCAGAAAAATAAATGCAATATTTCCAAATGACTTACTAGATTCAGATGAAGTCAGATACTTGTTCATCTGCTTGATGACTTTCTTTTGTGATTTGGAGGCTTYGAATTCAAGTGCAGAACACCTATTAGAAATAACAGAATCACATAAAAAACAGCAAAAAATCATTGAGAAAAAATCATTTAACCTGTGAAACAAAGTTTGACTATTAAAAGTGTGATAGTCAAATAGACACAAAAGAAACCAGGAGAGTAATAATGATG